TTTTAGTAAAAGCAAATTTCAGTTATTTACTGTTAGTTACCTATATAGTCAGTTTGGGGAAGTAGTGTGAGTCTGTATACATGTGTTGCTTGCCAGTCATACAATTCCTTTGTTCTCAGGATGTTTAAATTTCAGTATCACTGTGGGGAATTTCTGTTTAAACATTCTAAGTATTATAATCCCCTGGATCGCAGTGAGGCCCCTTCTTCAATTGTTTGTTTTCTTTCTTATGGCCACAGCATTCATCCTTGGCAGACAGAAGTCCATGCCATTGTTCTTTTCTCCCTCAAATTAAAAGAGAACAGACTCTGAGGAAACAGGGGCGGGCAGCCTGCTCAGAAGGAGAGACTAGACCTTGCTGGGAAACTAGAAATTCCCACCCCTCTGCTGGTTATTTATGCTCTTCACATTTTGGGAAGTGGACTGCTATAAGCAGCTAATATGCTGCTCTCAGAGATTTTAAGGATGTTGTTCATTTGATTTTAATTGAGCTGCAGTGTCAGGGAGGAGCATTATATACACAGCCATTCTTTTGATACAGGATTTTAGTTTCTGCCAACTCCTTTTCTGAAGTGGATCTAGAATACTGACAAAATCAAGGCTTTCAATCATCCAAACACTTTCCTCCATGCTTCCAGTGAACTTTTGTTCACTAACAAACTACTAACACCCATTTTTGCCATGATAGAGGACTTATTCTGTATTTTGAGACTGTATCCACTATATCAAGGTCTGTAAGTTTAATATTGGTTTCTATTCAGAACAAGGCCAGTAGAATTAGCAGAAGTGTAAGCTGCTAAAGTCTTTAATTTATCTAAAAGATCATGGTTTTATAATACTTATTATTATATTGTATGTAGTATATAATAAGAAGAAACATATTGGGGGAGTAAAAGGGCAATTTCCTTGAAGTCATGGCTTTATTTTTAACATTTTCTCTCATTTATTGGTTTTCTACATTTTATTTGGCAATTTGGCTTGACTGTATAAGCTATGTGAGCATTAACTTTTGAATATAATGTGAAAAATTGTTCTGATGAATTCAGATTTTCATACTTGGTTTTACTTCAGTTTTGACATAGGCAAATGCACATATAAAGAACATGCAGCTGTTGCTTTAACAATGCTATGTCATATAAGAAACCTCACTGACCCATCCTGTAGAAGTCAGGTGGATGCCACACACCTGCTATGCTAGCATGTGAAGCATAGATGCAGGACAACCAAGGACCCAAAGTCATCTTCAAAAAGTGAGTGAGTTGCAGCCACCCACCCAACCAAACAAAAATTCCTAAAGAATGAATGAAAGTTTCAATCTTAAAATAAGCCATTGAATAAAGTGTGTGTGTGTGTGTGTGTGTGTGTGTGTGTGTGTGTGTGTGTGTGTGTGTGTAAAGGAGAACAACTTTAATCCTGAAATTTGTGAAGCTTCCTAAACAGCCTGGGTGCCATTCATATGTGTTCATGTATGTATATATGTGAGTTGAATATGCATGTGTGTCTGTATGTTTGTGTATATGCATATGTTTATTATATGTATGTGTGTCTGTTTGTAGGTAATGAGAATAGTCCCAACACTGTACTATGTGGCATAGTGTTCTTAGCAACCTGGATGAATTTAGAGATGCCTAGGAGATTAGTCTAGCATAGGTCCTGAGCATTTCTGTCATGCCTTTTCCAGAGAAGATTAGATTTTGAGGACTCTTACATAATGAACTGTTTGTGTACTGACAAATAAAGCTTTCCTGGAGATCATAGGTTAGAGTTAGCCACTAGTTAACCATTGGGTCCAGGCTATGGTGGCTCATGCCTTTCATCCCAGCATTTGGGAGGCTTACAACTTTAATCCAGCATTTGGGAGACTCACACCTTTAATCCCAGCACTTGGGAGGCTCACACCTTTAATCCCAACAAGAAGGAGGCAGAGAGAAGAAGTGATAAGACAGGGCAGAGACTGGATCTCAGCCCTTTCAGAGGAACAAATGAGACAGGTAGGAAGCAACTGGAGGCTGCTCCCTGTTCTCTGATCTTCCAGGTTTTTACTGGGTTTTTAATAAGATTAATTAGATTAATACTCCAATGAAAAGATTAATTCACTGAGAGAATCACAATCTGAGTAGATTAACAAGAGATAGTAGACAATCCACCTAGCCTAGTTCAAGCAGGTTGGTCACTGGCACTGGTTCACAGCATCTGTGCATTGCCCTGCTGCTGTACCTTTGCTGCTCCTATGTGACATGAGGTGATCAACCCCAGCACAATTCTAGAACCTATGTAGCTAGCCCCACTAAAGTAAAACACTGAAGCCAAAATAAAACCTTGTTCCCTGAAGTTGTTTATATTAGTCATTCTCTCACAAGAGCATTACATTTGACTAATAGCCCATATAAACAGTACAAGAAATTCCCAAATGCCAGGAAATTAAAAAAAAATAGTGTTTTTCAAATGGAGATCCTTTACTTAAAAGTACATATCTCTTACCTGAAGAAAATCTATTTTTTGAAAATCTCAAATTCAAGAAAAAATTGAGTTTTTTTCTTTAAAAAACTGCCAAAAAGCAAGATAGATAACAGAAACTACATCAGAAGGAAGATACTGAAACCAGATGGGTAATATTACACTAGCAGCTGGTATAGTTTGTTGGGGGGACAAAGGTCCTTGCACCCACAGATCCCTAGGGAAAGCATGAATGCTAAGCACACAGGAGCATCTTCTCAATGCAGCAGATAAAATACCTGTTTTACTGCCCAGAAGGTTTGGAGGAGATTTTGTTAAGGTTCTGGGGACCTTTGTGCTATCTGTGGAGGCAGATCTCACCCAGCTTTTGTTACAAAGGCAGAACTCAACCAAATCCCTGAGCATGATCAACCCAGGCTGCCCCTTCCCTAGACCTTTACCCATATTTAGGGGGGATGTCACATGTACTTTATGGCCTGCTGAACTCTATACTATCTGTTAGAGACCAGATTAGAGTCTAGGTCCTTTAGCTATAGAACCCACTGTTATGGTCAATGCATTTTGTAAAGGAGTTTCTATGTAGTCACACTGAAGCTTTATTGTGCACCTGCAATTGGACTGACTGTTGTCTGGAAATCTTTTCCAAAATTGTACTGTGCTTTAAATAAGCTGGAAATGAATTGTCTGGCGAAGACTCACCAAAGTCTGATCCACACACAAGAAGTCAGTCTGAACCTGGTTTTCATTCTCAACTCTTTGAGGGCTCACTTCCTTGCCTGGATACCTCTAGGGTCCCCTTCAAAAGCCCAGCATACAAACATAGAGTGTGCTGATATCTTAATTTGACATTCATGTAGAATCGGCACTTTAAAATGGACATATGAACATTTGCTTACATTTCCCATATTTTTATATGTGCATATGTACACACACACACACACACACACACATATAACAACATTCAATGACAAATGAATACAATCATTTTTGCTCTCTTTACAAGAAAGTGAAACACTGTTCTGTCTTAAATAGTTTCTGTAGGGGAACCTGTAGCCACATCTGCTTAGGGGCTGGCTAAAGGTGTGCCTGACAGTGCCTCCAAGGGCATGGTCAGGGTGATGTAGAGTGAGAGGTTCAGGTGGCTGGGTTTCACTTTCGGTTTCACTTTTCAGCTTGCTGTATAGACTGCTGCCGTGTTGGCTGGCTAGGTCGCTCTGTAATTAAGGCTTTTCCCTATTAAATACCCTTGTATTTCTACCTCACTCTGTATTGGTAATTTCCCACTTTAAGTTTCTAAATTTAAAACTTCAGCATTTTCATTCACTCTTTTTTTAATGTGAGAGAAAGTCTCATTATAACACCCCTCATCTCAAACTCACTAGGTAGGTAGCACAGGGTTGTCTCAAACTTACTATGTAGTCCAGGCTAGCCTGGAGGTCAGTCTTCTTCAGGCTTCTATGTGTTGGGGGAAAACATATGCTATCATAGCTGGCTTTTGTTCATGCAGGCTTCATGATTAGAAATAAAGGTAATAAAGTGGTTGTCTAGAAAATTAATTTTCACTTATTTCTCCATTATTAAATGGCATACTATCATTTGGTCAAGTGCTCATAAATATATACTACCAAAAGGAAGCAAAAAAAAAAAAAAACAACAACAACAACAACAATAAAACACCCTTACATTAGCTTTATGAACAGGTAAAAGGGATGAAATACTATGGAAGGTAAAATTTCTATAATTTCAAGGTCCTATTTGCTAATTATACAAACTTTAAAGACAAATTCAGGCTGGAGTTTTTAAATGGTAGAAGGTTTTGTTATGCTCCTCGACCTATCTCTTGTACCATAATTCAGCAATTGATGAGCTACACGGGACATTGCAGGGTGACCACATGGGCCCATCCGCAAAGCAAAACCCCTCAGCAAACAGCACTTCTGTATGGGTACTACTCTTCTAGTTTACATGAAGCTCTCTTTAAGAGGAAAACTTAGATTTCAAAACACGGTTCATAAGCGCGGTGAAGCAGAGTTGACTGTTTTACAAGAAACATATATTCTGTCAACTTTCTAAGACCTCCATAATACTGGACAAAATGGGATAAAAATGGGACTTAGTCATTAGAATCTTTCCTAAGATGCAAGACATATTTGTTTTCAATCATTGGTCAGATGACCATGACACAGTTTCCTTTTTCATGCTTCAAAATCAGATAAGCTAGAAACACTTGCACTGGCAAACATGCAAGCCTCAGAGCTGCAAAAGAGCCCAGGAATGAATCAAATGGTAGTACAATTCACACAAAACTGAGAACTGATAACTAAGTGAAGCTAATTTTAATACCAGCACTAAGTGTCTAATCTAGATAATCATAAATGTGTGTTATCTAAAGTTAAAAAATAAGAAAAAAATCACAGTGATGTTCAGCTTGAAAATGTCTTTGTTGCTAATGGAATGGTAACTTTACTAGGCTTTTAATAGGTCTTAATTAATCAACTCCTAATCAATAAGATTCTGCCTCACCACAGAATCGCCTCACTTACCCATGATGGTTAAGGCTGTAGCTTTTTTTAATTCTTCTTTCATTGACTCTATTACTTCTAAATTACCACCATCCAGGTTGCATCGGTTTATGGTTCTATTTCCAGAACTGATCCAATAAAGCTTATTCTCCACATAGTCTATTGAGAGACCTGTAATTAAATTAAACAACTTCAACATAATAACAGTCACTCAGATTCCAATATTCACTTAGCATCTCCTGATTGGAGGGGGAAGTAGGTTGAAAGTTCACAGTTTGGTCTTGGAAAATAAGACTTGGCTAATAGGAAGCTAGATATATAAGGTGTCTTCACTAACTGAGGGACATTAGACTTTTACAGGCAACTTTGCAGTAGCTACTGATGAAAGTAATAGTGACATTTTACAGATAAGGAAACTAATACCCAGGAAGCTAAGAAATCTGTGTTCTCAGCACAGACACCTGCACTTGCTGGCATGTACTACACAATCACAGTTCACACTGAAACAATATGCATCCATGCTCCCACCAAGCTCAGTGTGAGCAGTTTGTGGAGAGATGCTCTCCACAGGTGTGCCCGCAAACTGGTCCTGGAGATCAGCCCCGTGTATGAACAAACCACATACAGTTCTTCCAAAGCAAACAAACAGCAAAAAGATGACCAAGAGGGAAAAAAAAAGAAAACATAAGATGGAGAGACTGACAAGAGTTTAAGCATGCTAAATGGATGAGATGTTACTGGGCAGTTCTCAACCCCAGTGAGTCACAGGCCAGAGTGAACTAAGGTGTCAGATCCATTCCACACCAGGAACCACTCAGCTCATCTGTATATAATTTCACTTGTGGACTGTCTCAGTTTCTGAGAGAAGCTGGAAAAGTTTATCCATAAACAACAATGCAAAAAAAAAATCAGGCACTATGGAATCATAGTTTTATACATTTATTTTTCTGAAGACCACAATCAGATGATTAATTTTAACTACTAAGAAAATTAGTTGGAAAAATAACAACAAATACTAATAATAAAAATAATAATGCATGTCACCTAAGATATTTCAGGATGACAGTCTTCATCGTTCAGTTTGTTTAATAAAATCTGTATGGGCCAGGCAGTGGTGGTGCACGCCTTTAATCCCAGCACTCAGGAGGCAGAGGCAGGTGGATCTCTGTGAGTTCGAGACCAGCCTATTCTACAAGAGCTAGTTCCAGGTCAGCCTCCAAAGCCACAGAGAAACCCTGTCTCAAGAAACCATAAAGAAAAAAAGAAAAAAGAAAGTCTCTATGGTCCCTTTATATACTGTCTGCCACCTGGGCATGCCATATCTGGCAGAAATCAGATAATATGAGCATGTTTTCAAAACTGGCTTCTGCTTGGGCATCTGTCTGATGATTTTAAGCTAATACAAAGAGTTAAATAAACATATATACAGTTATAGAGAATCCTTTCGAAAATGTGAAGTTTATATATACTGATAACCATTCTAAATTGCATGTGACAATCAAGCCAAGGTCCCAGAGATCTGAATTTTTACAAGACAGTTTCTGCCCTCAAGGTCCCCAGCTGAACTGAGTGTTGGCATTTTGCCCTTGGTTTGAATTTGAGAACTGTTACAAGTACACACAGGATAGCCTCTGTTAGGCTTCCTAAGATGTAGTGTCTGAAGGCAGTACATCATATTGTGACCTCTTTATCTATGGACCCAAGGGACACATTTCTTTCAGGGCCATGTGCCAGAAAAAGCTATATATGGGAAATATAAAATTTTAACTGATCATATTTCTGTCTTGGCTTTCGCTCAAAAAAAAAAAAAAACCCAAAGAGTCAGATTTGTGAGCCATCACCAGCAGTCATAAAAGGATTGCATCTACACTATCAGTTTTAGTCTAGCATTGATAGACTAATCTATTTTACTCTTTCCTCTGGAATATTGAAATCAATACTCTTGGCTAGCCTTTCTTAGAGAATGTATTTGTTTAAGTTCCTTTAATCTCTTTTTTGGATGGAAAGTGAGCTTTCATATTGAACATGTGTGACTTCAAATTAACCCACAATGACTGAACTTCTCACCCACTGCATATTCTCCAATCTCTCGAGTACATGTTGCATAAAGTGGAATTCATCAGAAAATGAGGTGACAGTTGGGCCACTGAATTTTAGTCTCTATTATTCAGCCTCTGCTTCTGGGCAGTATGTGCACACAGGGAAGGGACTCTGTCACACCTGATTGTATGGTATTTACAGAAGTGAATCTTTAGTAGAAAATGGATATTAATTCAGCTGTATTATAAACACTATAAGATGCCTAAAAAGGAGTTCTTCCTGAAGTTAAGGCATACTCACAAGTTAAGGCATATATTCCAGACTGAATCACAAATTTGCATTTATTGGGCAAGTGTCTATCCCAAGCTACACCCTCAGCACTACCAGCTGACTGACTAGTATTGTTTTGACAGGGTCCTGCTATGCACCCCAGAATGCCCTGAAATTTGAAACCTCCTGCCTAGCCCCCTTTAAATACTGAGATTAAAAGTGGAGGCCAGGGATCTGGAGGTGTGGGGGATAGTTCAGCCAGTAAAGTGTCTGTCATACATGTTTGAGGACCTCAGTGCGATAGTCAGAACCCAGGTATAATCGCCATGTATAGTGATGTGTACTTATAATCCCAGTAATATAAAGACATTGACAGGTAAATATATGGCCAGTCTAGCCTTATTGGCCAACTACAGGCAAGTGAGAGATCCTGTGCTGATTTTTTTTGTTATTGTTATTTGTTATTTTGTTGTTGTTATTTGTTAAATATCACCTTTTTGTTATTTTTTTTTGTTATTGTTATTTGTTATTTTGTTGTTGTTATTTGTTAAATATCACTTTTTTGTTATTTTTTTTTTGCAAGACAGTGGTTTTCTGTGTCACCATGATGTCCTGACACTTGTTATGTGGATGAGGAACTGATAGACATCCTCCTGCCTCTGCCTTCCGAGTGCTAGGATCAAAGGTGTGTGCCACCATTTTCTTGTTTAAAAAGTAGAAGCAAAAGCCTACAAGTTCTGTTATGAACTTATGACACTTGGAAAGAGGCCAAGTGACAGCTCAGCTGGTAAAGGAACTTGTCCGGTATGACTGGTGATCTGAGATTACATATAAAAGGCAGAAGGAGAAGTTGGCTCTGTAAAAGTTTCCTTTGACTTCCACACTGGAACCATGGTATATACACCTGTTCACATATATCATGCATGCACCCACAATAGTTAATTAATTTTTAAAAATTAGTAAAGTCTGTTTTACATATGCTGATGTATTTTCAGAAACACTTGTGACTTGCTGATATGCATGCTTATACACCATGATCTTTTTTTTTATTTGTCAACATTGTGTACTGAAGTCCTAGCATCCTTGAAAATTAAATTGATACATGTACTTACAGAAACAATTTCTGACTCATATCATATCATTTCGTGCTAATACTTTAAATAATAAATCATTAAACAGTGAAATAATGTGACCAAGCTTAGTCAATGGTGCTAGATATGAAGTCAATTGCTGTGAGAAAATAGGTCAAATGTGAAAATGTTTGCAAAACTTTTCTGGAATGTGTATAGAGGATTATAGTTATGCTACATCTTAGATATAAATGCACCAGCCAGCTAGATGAAAGTAACCAATCAAACAACAACGTGGCTAGTGATGTGTGGTTTTTTCCTTATGATTTTACTGAAAAAATAAGCGAAAAATATTAAAGGAATCTCTTAGAAAGAACTCAATATCATTATAGTTTCCTATAAAACATTTATTAAGATATTGAGGGTCTGGTTAAAAGGAAATCTAGTTAAGCAACACAATAAGAGAAATTAAGAAAAGTCATCACCTAAATTGAAAAATATTATATTTACCTTTTTCTAACTTTCCTGGTAATATAAAAACTTAATTGATATCTATGCTTGAATTCTCACATCCCTTAATATATTCCAAATAAACTGCCTTCATATGTCACTGAACATTTTCATTTAGGAAGGCCAAACTAATGTAATTGTTCAAATAACAGGTTTAATACAGACATTGATATAGAAAATGGCATAATACATTTAAACATTTAATTTCATATTTCTTTTATCACTAATAATGTTTTAAATATTGTAGTAATTACAACTACATGGTTCTTCTATGCACTTTCTTTTTGAAAGACACAAAATTAAATCAGTATATAAAGGATCACAATTAAATGTGAAGTTTTTAAAATGTATTTTTAATGTTAAGAATTTGGAGAAGTGGAAATTACCTAATATTTTCCATCATATACCAAATTTCACTTCAAAGTACTCCTCCCTGAATCTGAGTTATCATCATCTATAACACTATTTTAATAAACACTGAAATCCATATATGACCCTAAAAGTCAAAATTCAGATACTTAATTATTAGTCCTGTAGCTCTGATACCTGGAATGGTGACACTATGGGAGCAGCGCAAGCCTAACTGCTTGTCCACTTCATCTTCCTCCTAGGAACATTTCAATGTTAAATTTAATGACTGTACAGATGAAACCCAAACATTCTCTCTGCTGACTCTGTTCTCTCTTAAGTGATAACAATATAAAGGGCAAATCTGCTGGTGTCCCTGGGTGGACTTACTTCCCCATGGTCTGTTAGCAATAAGATGATGCATTGGGCAGGGGATATTTCTTGACTGGTAAATTGCTAATCACATGAGAAGAAGGACTGGAGCTACTCCCAGCACCCATTTAAAAAGCCAGGTGTGGTGGAGCATACTTGCAATCTCGTGGTTGGGAAAGTGAAGACAGGCAGATTGTTGGGGATTGGGGCTTGCTTGCCAGTCAGTAAAGTGTAATCCATGAGCTGCAGGTTCTAGTGAGATACCCTGTCTCAAAAAGCAAGGTGGCCAGTTTCTGAGTAACAATATTCAGATATAATACCCTCCACACTACACACCCACACACACACACACACACACACAAACCCACACACACACACACACACACACACACACACACACACACACACACACACACACAAGTACACATATATGATGGTGCCCCTACCTCTCAGTGAAGGCCTGGTATTCACTCTAACTAAGCAAGTTTCCTTATATACATTTAAAGCTAAATCTTGTTGAGAACTTGTACCAATCTCTCTGCTAATTTCAGATGATTTAAT